TGACAACTTGTTGGAATTTTGTATTAAGTGATATTATTTTACAATGTGTTAAGATATTTGTATTGGAGAGACAAAAAGATAAGATTAAAACCCTAAAGTACCATTTGTCACAAAACCATTGGACCTTGACTTTTGACCAAGACTTTTTGTAACTTTACTAAACCAATTTGGACCCAATTTCTCTCCATTTTAGCTTGTCTTGGACGAAATTTTGAGAGAAAAAGAGAGAGAAAATCCATCATCTTGCACTTCAATTTCTTGTCCAAATCTTGAGTTCCAACCGATTAAATTGCAAATCACTCCATAAAACTTGCTAGCTAAGGAAGATTGAAGCTCTTGGTGGAGTTGTTTTGGAAGAAAAATCCCTAAGTCATCACCTTTCTTGATATTTGAAGGTATCATGTCTAGCCATCATTTCTTTGTTCTTGATTATGCTAAATTAGAGACTTGTGATGGCTAAAGAGATGGTTTGATGGATTATATTTTGAGTTGTGGTTGGATGGATGAACTTTTATTATTTTTGGAGATTTTTCTGTTTTAATATGAGTATGATTATGTGGTTATGTATGATGATTGGAAATGATGTTTTTTTTTTTTTTTTTTAAGAAAAAGGAACTTTTAATATATCAAAGGAAAACAGACCAAAACCCAGCATGCGAAAAACAAAATAAGGAGTACTTCCTCCCTTACACTGCCTCCAAACCCATCGCTCTAAAGCGCAAATGCCCGAGAACCTACCCGAAAACCTGAAGACTGCAGCCTAGCCATCCTCCACTAACCACCTAACCCCTGGGACTCCCCGTGAATCCAGTAAAATGGCAGACCGAACAACCGCCGGCAACTGGTGTCCCTGCTCATAAACCTGAGAGCCAATTAACCCAATCGCTGCAAGCCTATCTGCGGGTACGTTGGCCTCCCGATATACATGTGAAATGGCAGCCGAAAAAACCTGCAAAAGACCTCTCACCTTCCTTAAACTGTTACACAGAGGCCACTTCGCAATCGCCCCAGAGACAACCAACTGCACCAAGGCCTTGGAATCTACCTCCACCAATGAAGGATACACACCCCGTTGTAGACACAACTGCAACCCAAAGAGTAATGCCATACACTCTGCCTCTAACACCCCCTGATCCCCGAACTCCTTGTAGAAGGCAAAAACCAACTTCCCCTGATAGTCACGCAGCAACCCACCCCCCGTGGCCCTCCCTTGAAGCACACTGGCGTCCGAATTAAACTTAAACTCCCCAAAGAGCGGCCTGACCCAGGCAATCGCACATGGGGACCGTCGCCTCGGAGACCGTCTGACCCACCGAAGCAACTCACAATCGGCATCACCTGAGAACTGGGACCGACAAAGCTTATTTGCCCTCCCCAACTGCTCCATAAAGCTATCCACCTCGCGAATAATCCTGTTGACCTCCCAACGCCCTCCTTGAAAACGCTCCTGGTTCCTTGCCAGCCAGAGAAACCAGCACACCACAATTGGAATGAGCACCCTAATATGGGTTTTCGACATAGCCTCAGACGTCAGAAACCATGCGATAAACACCGCGGCCATGCTTGTGCAGTTGCACAACTGAAACCCAAACCGGCTAGACATTCTCTTCCATACCTCCGATGCAATCGGCCCTGAAACAAACACATGCAAGAGAGCCTCCTCCTCCCCAAAGCAACACCCACACCTGGAAGGAATCGCCAATCCCCGTGACCTCAACACCACATCCAAAGGGATAAAACTCCGCACCAAACGCCACGCTAAGAATGACATCTTGGCCGGCAAAGCTGGCTGCCAAAGGAGTGAGTCGACCAAGGAAGGACACCTGCGTTGCCGTAGCATCTCCCAAGCCGATTTCACCGTAAACAACCCCGATGTAGAAGGCAACCAAACCAATCTATCCTTCTGAGAAACATCAAATGGAACGTCCTTGATTACAGTGATAACCGAATCCGGAAGCCATTGGCCAAGACGAACCTCATCCCAGCCCTCAGTCGTCAAAAACTCCGAAACCAGAAAATGCGGCTGCTCTGCTCCATCCACCACCTCTTCCAAAGGCTCATTCAAAGCCCATCTATCCTTCCAAAAATCCACCAGACCTTCCCCTACACACCACCTAATGTTCGGCTCCACCAAACTCCTAATCGCCTCAAGACGTCTCCAAGTATGGGAAGGCCGGACAGACGAGGCCGCCAAAGGATGACATCCATTACTGTATTTTGCATGCATGAATTCCGCCCAAATGGAGTCTCCACTGCGAAAACGCCACCATAGCTTAGCTGCAAAAGCCCGAGCCATGTCCTTAAACGACCTAAAACCCAGACCCCCTTCATTAGTAGGGAAACACAGCTTTTCCCATGCGGCCCAATGGAGACGCTTCTCCCCTCTACAATCCCACAAAAAGGAGTTACAAATGATGCCCAAACGTGTGATCACCGCCTTAGGAGGGCTCAACACCTGAAGCAAATACATCGGCAGCGAAGAAAGAACATGCCGAGCTAAAACCCGCTTACCCCCAAAAGATAGCATCTTAGTACTCCAGTGCCCAAGAAGGTCCCTCATTTTAGCCACAAGACCATCAAACAGCGAACTTAGCCGGCGCCCTTTATAAATAGGGGCACCCAAATACGTAAAAGGGAAACAAGCCCTATGAAATCCCAGGACCCTCGTTACCATCTGCTCCTGCCCCATAGTGGCTCCCATCGCCAAGAAAAAGGCACTCTTATTGACATTCACCCGTTGGCCTGATACCTGTTGGTACCCCTCTAGAAAAACCTTGACTGCACTCAGACATTCTTCGGAACATCGGGTAAAAACAAGCATGTCATCCGCGAAAGCCAGATAAGGAACCTGAGTCCCGGCCGAGACAAAGAACCTTCCCGGCCGACAGTCCAACAAATGGAGCAGGCCTCGACCCAAAAATTCGGTCACTAACACGAACAGCCCAGGCGACACCGGGTCCTCCTGCCGAACACCCCGGGACGACTTGAAAAAACCAGCAGGCTCACCATTAACCAAGACCGAAAACCAATTATTGGACACCAACCTATAGAAAATATCTACCACCCTTTCCTGAAAACCAAATTGCCTCAGCATAAACAACAGAAACGGCCACTCGACCCTGTCATAAGCCTTCTCCATATCCAATTTTAGCATGATGTTCGGATGACGCAAACGCCTATCTAAATCCATCACCAACTCCTGGGTGAGTAGAATGTTATCCGTTATCCCCCGTCCCGGAACAAAGCCCGTTTGCCACGGTGAAACTAATGTCGGGAGTACTCTCCCCAACCGACGAGCAACCAATTTTGAAATAATTTTGGAGCAAGTGTTGCAAAGACTAATTGGCCGGAAATCCTTCCAGCACATGGCACCTGCGATCTTAGGCAAGAGAACAATAGATGTGCTAGTAAAACTCCTAGGTAACCCCATACCTTGGAAAAATGCCTTCACCGCCTCTAGCAAATCCATCTTAATACACTCCCAGCAATCCTGGTAAAAACCTGCTCCAAATCCATCAGGCCCCGGTGCACTATCAGCCTCCAAACCAAAAACCACCTCTCGCAATTCTGCCAGCTCAGGGAGCGCAGAAAGCATCCCATTATCCTCTTCCGAAAGCTGTGGTAGCGTGAAGGGAATCGTTGGAGATTGCCCCCCATTCTGCTCAGAAGTAAACAAGGAGGACACGAACTCCACTGCTGACCTCCGAATGTCTTGTTCATCCTCCAACCATGCTCCTGTCGCATCCTTAATGCGAGCCACAAAATTGCAATTCCGTCGCTGCCTATAACGCGAGTGGAAATATGCCGTATTAGCATCCCCCACCTGTAACCATTTGATACCCGCCTTCTGTCTCCAATACTCACATTCCACAGCCAAGGCCCGTGCATAAACCGCCTTGGCCTCCTCCAGTGAAGCCCTGGACGCAGGATCTCGGCCTGTGTCAAAATCCTCTTCTCGCTGTTTCATCATGGCCTCAGCTTGCTTTACATTGTTGAAGATATTTCCAAAAACCTGGGCATTCCAGACCTGTAGACCACCCTTCACCTCTCTCAATTTATTATAGAACTTCGGCATCCCCTCTCCCTCCACCGACTTCTCCCAACAACGCTTAACCACCTCCTTAAACCCAGGCTGGCCCCGCCAAACATTCAGGAACTTAAATGAGCGTTTGGGAGGACTTCCATTCCGACAGCATATCAGCAAAGGAGCGTGATCCGAACGGCCCCTGGCCAAATGTGAGACATGCGATAGATCATACCCGTCAGCCCACTCCCGATTCATCAATGCCCTATCCAAGCGTTGCCACACCCTCCCATTCGTCCATGTAAAAGCAGCACCATCGAAAGGCACCTCCGCTAACCCACAAATTCCAATCGACTCATTAAATTCCTCCATATTTCTTTGATTCGCCGGGGACCCCCCCACACGCTCTTCCAAACTGGAAATAACATTAAAATCCCCTGCCAATAACCATGGGCCACATACATCACCCGACAAACCTTCCATTGCTGCCCACAACTCGCGGCGCCCCACCTTGGAACATCGGGTATAAATTGCCGAAAAATGAACCGAACAGCCCGAAGAGAAAACAATGTGCATATGAAGAAGTTGTTCGGCCAGTTCCCTGAAGCTCACTGCCATCTCATTAAACCAGAAAACCCAGACCTTGTTATTCAGTGCACCCCAAACCTTATCAAATCCCAGTGATCGACGTACCACCTCCATCTGTGGCGGATCCGACAATGGTTCCAGCAGGACTAATAGCCGAACCTTATGAGATTTACACATGTTATGTAAATATCTAAGTGAATCCCTACGTGAAGCCCCTCGAATATTCCACACAACAAACTTAATAGGATTTAACATTAGACCGCAATGAGTAATGAGTTTGTGTTTGATGAGGAACCTGTTTCAAACTAGCTTTAGCCGGCCTACCTCCCTTCTGCCGAGTTCCACTAGGGCCAAACTCCAAAGCGTGTTGCTTCTCCAAACCTTCCACCTACTCCACCCCAATCCCCAGCCCCCCACTCAGAGCGTCAGGAAGCCGGTGATGCAACAGTTTTTGGAATTGCCTTAGCTGCTCCCACGGCACTGTCTCCCCCGGAGTATCTCCCTCCGAGAGTTGACGTCTATGTCTGTGTCCGGCAACCCGTGCACAGCCCACCGACCTGGATGGAATACGCTCAAAATCCTGAATCTCCATATTTGAAAGTAACTGAAGAATCCCAAAGGATTTGGGAGACGTCTTCTCCATCCTTCCAATCTGCCCACTCTCCCCTCTCCTCCAGCCATGGTCCTCCTCCCTGGCCGGAGACACAGGGCACTCTGCCTCTCTTACCGAAACTATGTTCAAACCATCATTCGTCGCATCACCTCTCCCTTCATCCCCTTCCAACTGGACCACAGACTCCGCCACCAGAGCCGAAGACCCTGGAGCCTCAATGCCCACTGCTGTGGCCCTTCCCTCCCGCGCCATCTCCTTCTCCACCTCCACCGGCCCCAAAGCTGAAGAAACCCCAGGAACCATATCATCCACACATTTCCCTCCACTGCCTTGTCCAGGATCGACACTCCCCCCAGGGCTTTGATGACACTCCCCACGTAGGAGAAAATTTCCACCAGGACCATGCTGATCCATTGTTCCCTTAGGCCGGTAAACTGCTGTGGCTTTCCCTTCTGACCTAACATCCTTTTTGTCTAATTTAAGCGCGGGGTGCTTCCTAAAACATTCACCATCTTCATGCCCAAAACGATGACAAAAACCACAAAACTTTGGCCAACTCTCATACACCACCTCCTGCCAGAACCCCTCCTGCTCCTCCCCAATCCAAACCCGATGGGGGGGCCTTTTCGAAACATCCATCTCAATCAAAACCCTCGCTACCGAAGGCCGCCTAAGGGACAAAGTCGCCGAATCAATCTTCAGGCATCTTCCCAGCAACCCAGCCAGTTTAGCAATATACACCGCATTAAATAAAGGCAATGGAAGACACGGCATGGACACCCACACAGGAGCCAACGTAGCGTCCTGATGCGCCTTGAAATCCAGTGTCCATTTGGATATCAGCATCTGCGCGCCCTTCACAAACCAGGAACGACGCACAAAAAGCTGCGTGAAATCCTCCTCTAACGACGGCCTGATCAGAACGTGATTCAAATCCAACAGACCAACCTCACAATCCCCCTTGAGTCCAAGCGACACAAAAAAACCCCTAATGATCTCCATTGGCGGCCGACGAAAAGGAAACCGACCCACCAATGCATTCTGAAAAGGAGACGACAGCAAGTTCAACTCGTGCTGGGATAACCTCAGTGCAGGCTCTCCACGATGCGTCGAACTACACCCCAGATCTGGAATAGCAGCCCCCTCCTTCCGACACGAACCCGAGAGCACCTCGACAAACGACTTGGTCAATGCCGCTCCGCCCGAGGACCCCCCCAGTGGCCGGCGGCGGCCACTGCGGCCCCTCCATGCAACTAACCCTAGACCTAAGAAAAAACTGCACTAACTCAAGGAGAAATATGTTAAGTAATAGGTTTATTTGTAAAACCTTGCTAACTTCTGGAAATGATGTTTAATGATTCTTGAAGGTGGAAAAAGTGAAAGATTGCAAGTAAATTCTGTTTTGGAAGAAATCTGGAAAATTAGGGTTCTTGGTTCTTCATTCTGTCTGAAATTTTAGGTCCTAGATAGAGGCTGAATTGGCCTTTTCTTCAAACATGAAAGTTGTAGGAAATGAAATTTTAAAGGTGCCCACAAAATTTCAGGTCAAACGGAATAGCGTAGAGTGAGAAAAGAAGAAATTACTATTGCTGTTCTGGTTTACCCGAAATTGGGATTTGCGACTGTAATTGGTTGTTTAGGCTGGAATTGCTTCCGAATTGGTTGTTGAGGTCTTCTGATGAAATGTATCCCTGTTTCTTAGCTTTTATCTGGTTTTGGAATTTCTGGATTTGGACTTGGAGAGCCTGAGTTATGATGTTTCCGCTGGAATGCGTTCTGTGAATCTGTTTTTGTGATTCTGGTATAGTTTCTTGCATTTTTGACATGGTTACACTCAAAACTGGGTTGAGTGACCTTCTGTAATATTGTACCCCTATCTCTTAGCTTCGAAAAGGTGGGTCTTTCACCTTCATCCGACAATCGTAGTACCTTTGGTGCCATTACCGTAAAATGACGTCAAAACTGTTTTTCTGGTTTTGAGCTAAACTTTCATTTCCAGACTTTTCCCTAGCTTGACTTGTACTAGTACTACTTGGAGCTTGCTGAATGGCTATTGGATGAACTTGTTGTTGTGTGTGTACCTTTGGGACTGGCTGAGGATATAATGAAGCCATGATGGCTGGAAAAGTAAGCAAATTCAGGGGAAGTGCTGTCCGAACTTTTAAAGGATTTGTTTGCATTGAGTTTGTGATCTAAAACTTGGATTTGAGGAAGGCAATGTTATATGATGGATGATTTCTGAGCCATGGAGGTGAGTGACCTCAAACTATTTCTAAAGTTATTTATGAACTGTTTCCTGCATTATTTACTTTTGAACTGTTTCCAAAGTTACTTTTGAACTGTTTTCTTGTCTTATTTACTTTTGAACTGTTTTCTTGCATATCATGCGTGCTTACATGTGAGTGTTCCTTGTTTGCTATATTTCCTTGACTTATTGGCCTGTTATTATTGATTGATAATGTGTTAAGTGCTTTCAATGATTGTTAAAACAAGTTTTCTAGGCGAGTGTGTACTTTATCGCACTCGACCTAAATAAATATGAAACTTTCAATGATTAATGATTAAATGCTAGTTGCGCATGAATGTAAGCCGTTTGGCTGAACTGGCCACTGCCCTTCGTTATCGATCGACTCGAGCCAGAAGCGGACTCGGTCGGGCGATATGGTGACCCTGGGTGAATTTGGTATACTCGAGTATTACCTTGTAGTCCGGCTACGTCCGGAGTGGTGGAGTCCGGCTACGTCCGGATGGGTGGAGGCCGGCCAACGTCCGGAAAAAAAAAAGATGAACGAATAAAAAGATGAACGAGAGATTATTTATAAAAAATGAACGTATCCTTTTCATGAATGTTACTATCGCTTTCCATTGTACGTGTTTCTTGAATTATTGATACTCCATATTTAATGTTTTGTAAATGCTGTAATCGTTTCTGGACTTATCATGTGATTTATGACATCATTGAAAAGAAATATTGTTAAACCGATTGGATTACTGATTTTCTGGTTACTCGCTGAGCTTCTAGCTCACCCCAAAAATATTTTATTCCCCTCCACAGGGCTCAAGGTGAAGGCAGGACTTGTTGTGCTTGTTCACGTGAATGGATGGCCTTTATGTTGTATAATTTGGATTTGGAATCATTTTATGTATAGTTGGGAATCGTTTCCGCTGCAATTGTGACATGTAATTATTGGAGACTTGGATGTATATTTGTGGACCATGTGCTGTATCTTTGAGGTTTATTCTTGTAATTCATTTGAGGACTTTAGTGAACGACTGAATCCCTGCGAGAGCCGGGCAGGCGGCCCGCCGAACCCTCTGGTTCGCCTTAGGGGGAGGTGGGGTCGTCACAGTTGGTATCAGAGCTTAGGCTTCAGATCTCTGTAGTGTATCCTAGGCTTGAAGTTTAGGATGCCGGACTGTGGGTTTGATTTGACTCTTGAGAGATTTTTGCGGGATGTCTTGACTTGATTGGTACAAGAGGGAATGTCGAGGACGACATTCTTTTAAGGAGGGGAGTTTGTGACGCCCCGAAAAAAAAATGAGTTTGAGAACCCGGAAATTTTCTAATTTTCTAGGGTTTATTTTTTTAAACGCCCGCCTTTTCTACATTTTCTTGATTAGAAAAATTCCCCAGATAAAGTTATGAGCAAAGATAGTTTTAAAATGATTTTTCTAGTATCGGTTAGTTTTTGAGAAATTAAAAGCGTATTTTGGACGTGGGACCCGCAAGTGCGGTAAATGCATTATATTTTTGACAACTTGTTTGAATTTTGTATTAAGTGATATTATTTTACAATGTGTTAAGATATTTGTATTGGAGAGACAAAAAGATAAGATTAAAACCCTAAAGGACCATTTGTCACAAAACCATTGGACCTTGACTTTTGACCAAGACTTTTCTAACTTTACTAAAACCAATTTGGACCCAATTTCTCTCCATTTTAGCTTGTCTTGGACGAAATTTTGAGAGAAAAAGAGAGAGAAAATCCATCATCTTGCACTTCAATTTCTTGTCCAAATCTTGAGTTCCAACCGATTAAATTGCAAATCACTCCATAAAACTTGCTAGCTAAGGAAGATTGAAGCTCTTGGTGGAGTTGTTTTGGAAGAAAAATCCCTAAGTCATCACCTTTCTTGATATTTGAAGGTATCATGTCTAGCCATCATTTCTTTGTTCTTGATTATGCTAAATTAGAGACTTGTGATGGCTAAAGAGATGGTTTGATGGATTATATTTTGAGTTGTGGTTGGATGGATGAACTTTTATTATTTTTGGGGATTTTTCTGTTTTAATATGAGTATGATTATGTGGTTATGTATGATGATTGGAAATGATGTTTAATGATTCTTGAAGGTGGAAAAAGTGGAAGATTGCAAGTAAATTCTGTTTTGGAAGAAATCTGGAAAATTAGGGTTCTTTGTTCTTCATTCTGTCCGAAATTTTAGGTCCTAGATAGAGGCCGAATTGGCCTTTTCTTAAAATATGAAAGTTGTAGGAAATGACATTTTAAAGGTCCCACAAAATTTCAGGTCAAACGGAATAGCGTAGAGTGAGAAAAGCCGAAATTACTATTGCTGTTCTGGTTTACCCGCAATTGGGATTTGCGACTGTAATTGGTTGTTTTGGCTGGAATTGCTTCCGAATTGGTTGTTGAGGTCTTCTGATGAAATGTATCCCTGTTTCTTAGATTATATCTGGTTTTGGAATTTCTGGATTTGGACTTGGAGAGCCTGAGTTATGATGTTTCCGCTGGAATGCGTTCTGTGAATCTGTTTTTGTGATTCTGGTATAGTTTCTTGCATTTTTGACCTGGTTACACTCGAAACTGGGTTGAGTGACCTTCTGCAATATTGTACCCCTATCTCTTAGCTTCGAAACGGTGGGTCTTGCACCTTCATCCGACAATCGTAGTACCTTTGGTGCCATTACCGTAAAATGACGTCAAAACTGTTTTTCTGGTTTTGAGCTAAACTTTCATTTCCGGACTTTTCCCTAGCTTGACTTGTACTAGTACTACTTGGAGCTTGCTGAATGGCTATTGGATGAACTTTGTTGTTGTGTGTGTACCTTTGGGACTGGCTGAGGATATAATGAAGCCATGATGGCTGGAAAAGTAAGCAAATTCAGGGGAAGTGCTGTCCGAACTTTTAAAGGATTTGTTTGCATTGAGTTTGTGATCTAAAACTTGGATTTGAGTAAGGCAATGTTATATGATGGATGATTTCTGAGCCATGGAGGTGAGTGACCTCAAACTATTTCTAAAGTTATTTATGAACTGTTTCCTGCATTATTTACTTTTGAACTGTTTCCAAAGTTACTTTTGAACTGTTTTCTTGTCTTATTTACTTTTGAACTGTTTTCTTGCATATCATGCGTGCTTACATGTGAGTGTTCCTTGTTTGCTATATTTCCTTGACTTATTGGCTTGTTATTATTGATTGATAATGTGTTAAGTGCTTTCAATGATTGTTAAAACAAGTTTTCTAGGCGAGTGTGTACTTTATCGCACTCGACCTAAATAAATATGAAACTTTCAATGATTAATGATTAAATGCTAGTTGCGCATGAATGTAAGCCGTTTGGCTGAACTGGCCACTGCCCTTCGTTACCGATCGACTCGAGCCAGAAGCGGACTCGGTCGGGCGATATGGTGACCCTGGGTGAATTTGGTATACTCGAGTATTACCTTGTAGTCCGGCTACGTCCGGATGGGTGGAGACCGGCCAACGTCCGGAAAAAAAAAAGATGAACGAATAAAAAGATGAACGAGGGATTATTTATAAAAAATGAACGTATCCTTTTCATGAATGTTACTATCGCTTTCCATTGTACGTGTTTCTTGAATTATTGATACTCCATATTTAATGTTTTGTAAATGCTGTAATCGTTTCTGGACTTATCATGTGATTTATGACATCATTGAAAAGAAATATTGTTAAACCGATTGGATTACTGATTTTCTGGTTACTCGCTGAGCTTCTAGCTCACCCCAAAAATATTT